TTATAATAGTTGTAATCGAAAAGTCTTTCATAACGTAAGAAAGTCTTTAAGAATTGCATATCAAGATCAACTTGAAAGTTTAGGACAATATTCTAGAGGTGTTTTAGAATTTAATAAGACAATAAAAAAGATTGATCTTTCGAAACCCGTAAAACTATGTAACCCCTTAATGGTTTAGTGAAAATCAAATGTGGAGTTGTCTAGAACTACAGTCCACTAAGAGTCCTGTTTTATTCAATTCGAATCTCCCTTTGCGTTTGAAAAGCAATCTGCATGCTCTGATAAACAATTATGCCGCTAAATAAGAATAAGATGTGAATAAGAGAAAAAATCATCTATTCAAATTCAGACCGAACAGTTCCACTAAGATCTCAAGATGATGGAAGTCACGTATCAAAGTAGATGAGTTCGTCTAATTATAACAGACTACGGCTGATCCTTGAAAGGGGTTGTCAATAGAAAATATTTAAAGAAAATACTCATGAAAGACATTTTGAAAAATGACTCCTTCATATCAAGTTTTGTGATGAAATTATAGAGATTTAATTGATATAATATTATATTGAGAATCAAAATTTTATAATCTAGTTAATAAATAACAACGCTTAGTTTTCTTACTTTTAAAAAATTCGGCGTTCTCTGTTTCTTTTTCTTCGTTGTTTCTGGCGCAGAGAAAGCACACAACAGCTTACTTGGGTATATAATATTAGAAAACTCTAAAAGTGAAATGAAATGAAAAAAGAATACAGCTGGTAGTATTTTGTTCTGCACTTAAAACTCACCTTGAATAAAGAATCGTAACTAAAAATATTGAAAACCTTACAAAAAATAATGAAATTTCCTATTAAAGACTTTTTTCTTGCACCGTTAGCATAATAATAATAGTGTTTTATTCAAGAATAAATCTTTTTGAAAGAAATATTAACAATATTACTATTTTACTTGCTTAAAATTTAAAATTTAAAACCTATTTTTTATTGAAAAATAAATCATTAACATTATTCTTATACTCAAAACAAATTTTTAAATTTTCTAAAAATATTTACTTAATTGCAAATCTGCCATTAGCATGTGGGAAAACTGTTACGCTCGTGTTAAAACGTAATAAATGTATAATATTATATATATTTATATTTTAATACCAGATCATCTTGTGAAGCAGTTTCTATTGTTGTATTTCAATACGTAAAAATATATAAAACATGCATTCTTTATTGTTATTTTTGCTATGCCAAAATAAGAAGCCATAAAAATAAAAAAAATGCATTCATAAGATTCTGAAAAAAAGTCACAACCGACGTCAACGCTAGATTTGTGAGTGCGCACGAGATGAACGCGCGGTAGCCCAGTAGGAAATGAAAAATGCTTAAATAAACTTAGTATAATTTTATAAAAAATATAAAAAATGTTTAAGACAAAAAAAAAAAAAATGTATATATTTTCGTAAAAAATTTATTATATAAGAAACAATTATATTGAATAAATCTTCCTATAAAAATAATCAGTTAAAATTTTAGTCTAAATAGAAATACATTAAAATTCGTTAAAAATGTCTTATATTTCATATAGAATTGTTATTAAACGAAAAGCTTAAAAAATCTCAACAAATATTTAATGAAAATTCTATCTCAATTGAAATTTATGTCCAATATTTTGGAAAAAAATATTTATAAAACAGGCCCAATATATTTTTTAGTCTCCTGAATATATTATTCTTTATATTTTTTGTAAATTTCAAAATATTTAGCATTTCTTACATCTACTTATCAGCAATTCAGATATATTTTTATTACTATTACGTCTTCATCCAACAACATACAAATACTTTTATTATATTTTGTAATATTTCAGCCTTTTCTATTCCTTGACGGTATTTACAAATATTTATAGATTTATTTTCCACTCTAAAATTTTCCTTTATCTAACTTTACTTATTATATTTATTTCCTAAATGGCCGCTTCATGCATTGTGATCAGCCGACTGCGCTATCGGCATGTGAATGCCATGGTCACGGTTGCTCATACGCCTCGCTGGGGGCGCTCGACGCTTCGTTCGTTCGCTTATTTTGCTCGTAACTTTCGCATGGCTTTGCTTTGCGTAGCTGAATTAAAGGAATATAATGTAAATAAATATGCAAAAACAACAACCGCTGAGTTGTATGCGATATCTATGAAGATTATCAACATGAGGAGAGCAGCAAGAGCGCCAAATGGTATTGAGTAATGTTTGCAGCGACTTGGTCATTACAACATTTAATCAATTAAATTGGCGCTTGGTCTTTATTTTAAAAATATCTGAGTTATATGTATATTTTTAAATTTTAAAAATTTGCATTTTTGCAGCGCTCTGCTATTTAAATGAATTTCTTTCATTAAGCCAAATCTCATGCGCGGTTTCCCCCTGACGCTACGTAGCGCGCGCTCTGACGCACTTGCTCGCTTTTGTTGCTCGTGCTGGCTGCTCGTTAACGTCATTGGCCGAGTAATGTACTGTGTTTAGTTTGCATTACAATGACAAGAGTGGCAACCCGCTGGCTGCTTAGTTGGCGTCATTTAGCCACTGTCAAATAGTTAAACCCGAAACTATGCTCAATTGAGTGGTTGACTTGTCTGTTGCTTGCTATTTACGGTAATAATAAATTATTCAAATTCATTTAAGCAATTTGCATGAAAATCAAGTTTAAAGACACTCGGTGTTCTAAACGCGGTTTTCTCGCGCGCCACTTGTGTTGCATGCGCTGAGCACGTTCGTTGTGGCGCAACATTGTGGCTAAACATTCAGTGATCACTACTCGCTCACTCATTGCAATTTATCTGCAATTTCTTTCGTTTTATCGCTTTTACATAATGCCTTGCATTTTTATTCTCTTCGTTAAGCTGCTGGGTAGGGGCTGACATGCTTTATGTTTTTTTCACTGGCAATAAAACGGGAATGCTACCTCATTCCGCCAAGGCGTGGGGCACTTGTTTGTATTTACGTGTAGTTGTTGCTGCATTTTATGTATTTTATATGGCATGTTAATTGACATTTTTATTATGTGGCTTGCTGCATGCCAAAGTGCAGTTTTGGGCGAGTGGTCGCTGCTGTATGCAGATAGAAGATATTTGAAGGGAATTCGTAGAGGCTGTTGGGCGGCTTGGACCCATGGTGTGGAATGTATGCATAGAAAAGTGTTGGGTATAGGTAGGTATGCTACTCGTGCTGATAATCATAACTTAAGGACTATTAAATTATTTATGCATAAAAAGCAGAAAGAGCTTTCAAGCTTTGGAAAATGAGCTTTTAGAAAAATTATCAAAATATTTTGTAAATAATCATAATTTAGTGACTATTTCAATATTTATGATTCTTAAATGAAACGAGCTTTCAAGTAAAAAAGCTTCTGAAAACGAGCTTTCGGAAATATTATCAAAATATCTCATTTTTAACCATAAATTACCTACCACTTCATTATTTTTGCATAAAAATTAAAAGAGCTTTCAAAACAAAAGTTTTTAAAATGAGCTTTCAGAAACACTATCGTAATATCTTGATAATAATCACAATTCAATGACAATTTTTTATGCTTCATTAGTGAAACAAGCGTTCAGAATAAATTTCATAATATCCCTTTTATAAATATAATTTATCTACTACTTCAATATTTATGCATAAAAAGTAGAACGAGCTTTCAAGTAAAAAAGCTTTTGAAAATGAGCTTTTAGGAACATTATCAAAATACTTTGTTAATAGTCATAATTTAGTGACTATTTCAATATTTATGATTCTTAAATAAAATGAGCTTTCAAGTAAAAAAGCTTCTGAAAACGAGCTTTCAGAAACACTATCGTAATATCCGGATAATAAYCATAATTCAATGACAATTTTTTATGCTTCATTAGTGAAACAAGCGTTCAGAATAAATTTCAAAATATCCCTTTTATAAATATAATTTATCTACTACTTCAATATTTATGCATAAAAAGCAGAAAGAGATTTCCAGTAAAAAAAAAAGAAAACTGTTGAAAATGAGCTTCAGATATATTATTAAAATATCTCGATGATAATCATTAATTATTTACTACTTAATTATTTATGCAATTAAAGTAGAAAGAGCTTTCAGTAAAAAGCTTCAGAAAACGGGCTTAAAGAATTATTATCAACATATCTTGATTATAATCATCATTTAATTACTTCTTCATTATTTATTCATAAAACGTGGAAAGAGCTTTCAATAAAAAGCTTCAGTAAATAGGTTTTCAGGTATATTATGAATATATGTATATCTATTGTAATCAAAATTTTTTTACTACTTTAATATTTTTCCATAAAAAGTAGAAAGAGCTTTCAGTGAAAAGCTTCTGGAATATTTAAAATTTGACAATTAATTCAATATTTATGTATTAAAGTTTCAGGAATTGAGTTTTTCCGAAAACACATTTGACTGATTGAAAACTATGTTAATAAAATACAAGTAAAAACCACACAATTAGCAAGTCGCATTGTTTTTAACTCAGTTTGGTTAATGTACGTCATTAGTGTCATACAAATTCAGAACATTTTTATTGCGATCACCAATTTGATGATCGCATTACTTTACCTATTGAAATGCCAAGATCGTTAAACCGCTGAGTGCCACCCCCGCACCTTTCACCACCTCAGCGTTGAACCAACATTGTTGTCTCCCCATTAAATGGTGATCAACATTTTGCTGCGCACACGCTTACGAGTACTTTTGGGAATTCGTCTACCAAGTATTTAGTATGTCAACTGAGTGACTATGTAAGTCCGTATGTCAAGTGGCAGCACATTGTTGTGTTTTGATCACTGTGATCGCGATCGCATTTTCCACGCCCGCGCGCAATTGACGAACCAACCATGGGTGGCTGCTGTTGGCACTGCGACACTTTGACAGTCAGTGGGCACGTCACTCGACGCTTGGATGCTCAGTCAAATGCAAATTTTTTCTACGAAAATGCTGCGCCGCGCTCACAGATCAGCGCTATTCCACTGGCGCTGAAACAGTCGAGGACAGATTTTCCGGAAAGACGGTACTAGCATTGGTGGCCGCGCGCACCACAAAACGAGGCGAAAGAAAACAATCCAAAATATATATATATAAATATTCCGCCCACCGCGCGATTTTCTCTAAGTGAATTAATGCATAAATGCAATTTGTAAAATCTCAGTCAGCGCCACAAAATTGCACTTGAAAAATTTGCGCGAAAATATAATAAAATACGACATATGTAATAATAAAATTTGGCGACACTGACTGTTTATTGTTCGCATGCCAATTCTTGTTCAGTCACTTGCAGACACTGGACGCACAGCATCGCATTGCACAGTGTTGACTAGTTTTCACAATTTCGCCTACAATTCGCGTTTTTTCTTTTCCGCGCGCGTTTATGTCGCACAGTTTTACGCGCTCAGCGTCGGTGACCAACGTAAACATTCAAACTGAGCTCGTCCAAGCCACCGATAACGCGGCGCGCACAGCACGAGCTGCAAACGTTCACGATAGCAGGAGGCGGCAGCGGCGACGGCGATGACGTCGGCAGCATTGCTGGCAGCAGCAGCTACGACATTGCGTTGCGCAGGCATAGCGGCACGCGGGGTTCTTTTGGTGCGGGTGGTGTGCGCGACGGTGGTGCTGTAAAGGCGCGTATACATGAGACGCGTTTATCGCCGGCAGCGCTGAGCAGACGCGAATTGAAGATGGCCATGCGTAATGGTGTGGGTGGTGGTGGTCGCAAAGGGAGTACCGGTGGACCGCCGCCAGCGCCTTCATCGGGACTGGGCACAGCCAGTATGCTGCGTGTGAGTTGAGTAAGCGAGTTAGTGCATGAAAGTGTGGTGTGTTTAAGAAAAATGTGGGAGAAATGTTGAGAATTTCGTCAATTCGCTGAAAGTGGTACGTTTAAGTAAAGTGTGGTGAATAAATTATAGAAAAACAATTTGATTGTTTTTTAAAATTGTTGTTATTTTTACATATGTAATTAGTTAATTTATCATTTTGACTCAATAAAAGTTAGTTTTGACATCCGTGCCAAAATGTAGGCAACAATTTTTTCAATTAGTTGGACACAAGATTTGAGCTTTTCCAATTGATGTTAAGAAAAATAAAGAGAAGATGGAGCGAGATGTCTAAGAACTTATTTTCCAGTCTTTTTGTGAGGCACCCTAATATATAGCACACTCTTTGGCTTATTATATAATTTAAAAAAGTGAAAGTATAACTAAATATTGCCTACCTTTTGGCGTGACACATAAAAATTTAGAAGCATTTAACATAATTTTATTGACTAAATGAATTGAGACAAAGATTAAAAATATCGGTATGAGAAAGTTAACTCCAGTTAGTAAAGAAAGTTGGAAATTATTCTGTTATTAATAATAATAACACACATTTATATGAATTTTGATTTGTAAATTTATATATCTTCAATTATAAAATAAAATAAAAAAATGTTCGCTAAAATTAAATTTTTTATTACACCTTTCTTGATGTATACATATATAATAATTAAGAAAAATTAATTTCTGTAGTAAAAATGCCTTCGTAAACTATTTTGCCTTTGCTTTATGCCCCATAAGTCAGTGAATTAACGGAATTCAGCGCTGCGACCCACTGAAGCGTGCACCTTTTGAGTCTCGTGAAGTGAATTTATTACATTTTACTATTTTGATTTTCGATTTCCGCGATGCGCTCGTGAATTCTATTTGCGGTGCTGGCAAATCAAAATTAGACAAAGTGTTTTTTGTTATTATATTGTGATTTTTGTTTTTATTTTGTAATGCCACATATGAGCCGATAAAGCGTGCAAATGTAGCTGTTTACCAATATATAGTATACATGCTTATAGTTGTATATAGTTTTGCGGTAATGTGTACATCAATAAATAGCGTTGTGGATAAACATACAAAAATGTTCTGCTGAGAGAGAAATTGTGTAGTGAATGAACTTGACTAACAAAAGTTGATCGAAAATTAAAAAAAAAACAAATAAGTGGCATAAAAAAATAAACAAAAATTATAGAAGCCGAAAGAAATATATAAAAATAAAAAAAAAAATTAAAAAA